CCCAAGGAACATTCCATCTGTTAAAAGTACTCACAACATCTACAGTCTATTCAATACTTTGATGTACTCTGGAAGCTTTTAAAAATTCTTATCACAAGGAATGAAAGTCAAAGAAGTTTTGGACCAGATTTTTGCTATCCAGAAGTTTTCCAACTTATTGCCAGTAAGGCTTAATAAAGTTAAGCTTCTGGCTGGGGTTAATTGATTTTTTAAAAAACACTTAAATGTAAAGGGGGAACCAAAAGATTTAGGTTTAGAATCCACCAGGCATGAAGATGTGTTGTAGCGTGTCCACAAACAGGTTGGTTGAAAAACATAATTGAAGTGGGAAATAAGTATATCCAAGGCTGATCTTTTTTAAATCAATTACAACATTTAAAACACACTTGGACAGATACTTTGATAGAGGGATATGGGCCAAATGCAGGCAAATGGGAATGGTTCAGTTTGGGAAACCGGTTTGGCATGGACGAGTTGGGCCGAAGGGCCTGTTTCTATGCTGTACACCTCTATGACCTTCTATGAGTTACATAGAAACATAGAAGATAGAAGCAGGAGGAGGCCATTCGGCCCTTTGAGCCTGCTCCGCCATTCTTTACGATCATGGCTGATGGCCCAACTCAATAGCCTAATCCTGCTTTCTCCCCATAACCTTTAATCCCATTCGCCCCATGTGCTATATCTAGTCACCTTTTGAATACATTCAATGTTTTGGCATCAACTACTTCCTGTGGTAATGAATTCCACAGGCTCACCATTCTTTGGGTGAAGAAATGTCTCTTCGTCTCTTTCCTAAATGGTCTACCCCGAATTCTCATACTGTGCCCCCTGGTTCTGGACACACCCACCATCAGGAACATCCTCCCTGTATCCACCCTGCCCAGTCCTGTTAGAATTTTATAAGTCTCTATGAGATCCCTCTCATTTGTCTGAACTCTAGTGAAAACAATCCCAACCTAGTCAATCTCTCCTTAAGGCATTCAAGATTACAGGGCTAAGGCAGGAAAGTGGAGTTGCGGATTATTTGATCAGCCGTGATCTCGTTGACCTTGCTCTGCCATTCATGGGCTGAAGGACCTACAACTGCTCCAATGAGTTAAAGTCTTGCAGTGTACTGAGGGCTATAGTATGCGCTGTGCAGTTGTTCAGTCAATAAACTCATTCACAAGGAAAAGGTGCCCTCAATTTACCAGTGGATTGAGCTCCTGCTTAACACTCAGCAGATCCCTGTTAGTTTAAAGCACTCTGTTAGACCATTATTTTGCTCCATGGAACAGGAGCAGGATTTAGCCCATCGATCCCAGGTGGCCTCAGATGGGGGTGGTGCTAAGGCAGACTGGTTAGAAGACCCAGCCCAGTTCTCTGGGACTTTGTCCAAGTGGATTTAGAAGCTGTTCAGCCCTCTCTCCACCATCCTTCACAGCCTGCTCTCATTTGCTCATTACCTTCATCCCATCCCATTCCCAACCACATTCCCAACCACCTCACATACCACCATGCCACCCCCATCAACTAGGACCCACCACAGGGGCACAAATTTGCAGCCACATAGAAATGAAAAAGAAACATCTAACAATCTGAACAGCTCTCACTCCTACACATTTGACAATGAAAGCCATTCAAAGCATTTAAATATCAAGTGTTAGCCTCATATAAAAATAAAGTCATTTCTATTCAGACCCCCAGAGTCAGCTGATCCTTCAACAGTCTCTTAAACTATCAATCAAATGGTGAACTCAACCTCCTACTTAGAGGAGTGAATCTGTTGAAACTCAGTCAAGCATTCGTTATGATAGTAACCCTTGGGGAAAACGTCAAATAATTCTGTTATAACCGCACGACGAAGTTGCAATGCCTTTCTCTAACCTATAGCAATGGTCATCATCTGCAATGGAGCAGATTTTTTTTTCCAAATTTTCACCAACAACTGCAGTTTTTTTTATTTTAAAACTGTTTAAGTAGCAGGAGATGAGAACATGCAAAACTTCATTCATGACACTTGGACAGATCGAGGTTTCTGAGAAGATTTGTTCAAGACACTTAGACAGATCTTGAACAAAAACAAAAGTTGCTGGAAAAGCTCAGCAGGTCTGGCAGCATCTGTGAAGGAGAAAACAGAGTTAACTGAGGAAGGGTCACCAGACCTGAAATGTTAACTCTGTTTTCTCCCTCAGAGATGCTGCCAGACCTGCGGAGCTTTTCCAGCAACTTTGTTTTTGTTCCTGATTTACAGCATCTGCAGTTCTTTTGGCTTTTACTTAGACAGATCTTACTGCCCTTCAGGTAAGTTTACATTCCTGCAAACGTTTGTGATCCCCACACTATAGGTGACGACTTTAGCACCAACTAAAATTGAGCCTGTGAGAACTCCACATGAAGTTCAAAAGTTCAGTTTTCCCTCCTGCATGAGTCATGTCCTATTCAAAGAAATTGGATCTGCCAGAAACAGGACTAACACATCCAGGTTTTGACTGCCTTTGGTAATGATCGTAGAGTCTTTCCAAACACTCAGAAATTCGGCTCACAATAATTATACTCTTATTCACTGTTTACAAGTCATAGAGTCATACAGCACAGAAACTACCCTTTGGTCCAACCAGTCCCTGCCAACCATAATCCCAAACTAAACTAGTCCCACCTGCCTGCGCTTGGCCCATATCCCTCCAAGCATTTCTTATTCATGTACTTGTCCAAATGTCTTTTAAACATTGTAACTGTACCCACATCCACCACTTCCTCCAGATATCCATTCCACACACGAACCACTCTGTGTAAAAATAATTGCCCCTCACCTTAAAAATATACCCTCTGGTCTTGAAATCCCCCAACCAAGGGAAAAAAACAGCTGCCATTCACCTCATCTATACCCGTCATTATTTTATAAACCTCGATCAGGTCACCCCTCAACCTCCTACGCTCCAGTGAAAGAAGTCCCAGCCTCTCTTTATAACTCAAACCCTCCATTCCTGGCAACATCCCAGTAAATCTCTTCTGAACCTTCTCCACCTTAATAATATTTCAATTATAAAGAAAAATCCTCACTGTGACTTGCTACAAAAACAAAAAGGTTCTCCCTCACAACCTCAATCCTGATGCCATTCCCACTTTTGCAGAGTCATAATCATCAAAGTCTACAGCACAGAAAAAGGCCCTTCAGTCCATCAAACTTGCACAAGTCAAAGACAAGCACCTAACTATTCCAATCCCAATTTAACCTGGAGTATCGTTTCACACTTGCACACACAGTCTTCCCCTTTAGAACCTTTCCCTTCCTCCGATTCTCCCAGCTGAGATTCCTCAGGGCACGGGATCATCCAACTTCTGCAATTGTTTGCATTCTATGCTGGTGTTTAAAAAGAACTCTGCAGTTCTGTCTACATGCTGGCCTTTGCCAGTCCCTCCACCCTGGTTAATATAATAATGGCCAGAAACAATGGCCTCTTATCTATATATTCCCAATCTCAATACCATAATACAGCATCCTGGATAGTCATCAGTGGATATCGGAGTGTCCTGGCCCACCCACGTCAACACAACGACCAGGAAAGCACAATATCTCTACTTCCTCAGGAGGCTAAGCAAACTTGGGCATATCCACAAGGACTCTTACCCATTTTTATCAACGCACCATAGAAAGCATCCTATCTGGATGATTCACAGCTTGGTATGGAAACTGCTGCATCCAAAACCATAAAAAAAACTACAGAGAGTTGTGAACACAGCCCAGTCCATCGCACAAATCAACCTTCCATCCACTGACTCCACTCACACTTCCCACTGCCTTGGGAAGGCAGCCAACATTATCAAAGACCCCTCCCACCCCCCGGTTATACTCTCTTCCACCCCCCTCCATTGGGCAGAAGTTACAAAACTTTGAATACACTTACGAATAGATTCAAGAACAGCTTCTTCCCTGCTGTTATCAGACATTTAAACGGACCACTCAAATGTTAATTCTGATCTCTCTCTCTCTCTCTCTGCACTTTCTCTGCGGCTGTAACACAGTATTCTGCGCTCTGTTCTACTGCCTTGATGCACTTTGCATGGTACGAACTGCCTGTGTTAGCACGCAAACCAACACTTTTCACTGTAGCTCGGTATATGCAACAACAGTAAAATCAAACATTTATCTGGTCTGCTGGTCCCCAGTTGCTGCTCAAAACTCACTCATTTAAAGCCAGCACACTCTGATGTTGTCAGGTTCAGTTAATCAGCTCCAGTCAATGTATAGCGCTGTGTAACCGACAATACCTCACCTTCTCCTCATACAGTCGACCCAGACATAACCCAGATCTAGAAGGACAAAGAGTGTGAACCAATCACAATCGATGGGTGTTTCCCCTTTGTATAATATCATCAGCTTTTCAGCTTCTGCAGTACATTTTACACAAATCCTTAAAGGACAAGCTTTGTCTATGAGAAGGGAGACAGCCTCAACTTTAATAAAATACTTTGAAGTTTTGTCCCCTGAAATTTGGATGGTTACTCAATTATCACTGAGAAAACCCACATTTTCCAACTCCACAATTAAAAACAAAGCATTTTAGCCTCCTATCAACATTCCCCTCAACCTCACCATATCACATACACTGAAACTGGACAACAAATACTAATGATACTTCTGGTATTAATGGTTACAAAAAATATTTTTCCTTTTAGCTTTCAAAATTCAATAACTTGTAAATACCAGATGGCCATTATTAATTTACAACACGTATTCCAATCTCTTGAAAATTCAAAATCATCCTTCCTTTACTGCACACTCACTCACAC